ACCTATAATATTGTCGAAGGATTTTGTTAGCGTAAAGAATGCACTCACTGTGCGAACATCTGCCTACACTTTTCTTTAAAACAAAATTTTAATGACGACGAATATTTTAGAGACGGCAGACGGCCAGTGATGATCATGTGCATCTCTTCGATGCTGGTTTGCTTCCTCATCATGGGACCAGATGTTTCGCAATATGGGATATCCAGCATGATGCTCATTAATTTCCAAAATCATGCAAACTAAGATGTCGAAGAAGTTCGATATTTCTATCCCGATGCGTGGGAGGTGGTGATTTTATATAACTCCTGTAGCTGCCTTGATAAAAACCAAGTGACGAAACGGCAAACCTCTTCTCAAACGCAAAGTAGCCCACGAACAAGGGTAACAGCGCGCTAGCTGAGGGACATCTATTGTAAACTGTACAAAGTTATTTCTTAGGTCATAACGCCTACAGCACCACTGTAGGCGAAATTATCGACCCAACGCAAAAATATCACAGGAAAGTTTTGGACAGAAAACAAGCGATCGAAAAAAGTGTGAGTCGCATGTAATTTATTGTTCAGAATTGTTCAGAAGGAATGTCAGCATGTGAGTCATGCATAACCTTCGTTGTAACCAATGTTTTAGCGAATGTAGTCGTTATTGGTATCTTTTCAAACTAGCAGGTGTTTGTTCCCATAGAATTAAGGTATGCAGATAAAGATTGCGGTAGAAAGGTTCTTCTCTTAGCACAGAGCAACATAATAACATATTCGAATTACTTCCGGTGTATGCGTTGTAAGGATGTCGAGCCAAAAACTCGCCGGCGAGAGCAATGACTGACTGAGTGCTTGTGAACGACAGATGGGAGCACGGCTGTTCTTTGCCTGCCCACAAGCAGTGCTATCTCAATTTTTTAAAGCTAAGGGATTGATCGGATTGAATATCTTCGGTCGACTTCGTGTGTCATGCTGAACTAGCTGCTCTCCGCTTCTCTTTTGTCCTGTTCATTTTAGCCAAGAATTGTTCACAATGGATTTTTTTCGAGATGTTCATCCGAACGATTGTTTTTGCTAGTTTTCATCTCAATTTGCTTTCTTAACGAAATTTCAAGCGTTTTTTTTTGTCGCTAAATGTTTCTCGAGACCGAAGAGAATTAGTGATGGTATTCTTCTTTTCATAAAATGGTAGACCTTAATGCCGTGGATATCAGTCGCTGTTGTAACTGAAACTGGATGCCAACACACTTCAGTGTGTTCTTGATCATTAAAATCGCTTCTTTAACTTTTCTTTTTATACGGCTTGATATCGATGTCATCTACATGATCAGTACCGGTGTCAGGTTCTGCACCAAAACGTTCACTTTAGTGAAAGAAGTAACACTGAAGACTATCTGGAGGCAGAAGGCGTTTGGATCAAGAACATTGCGTGAGATCCAAACAAGGTCTAAATTGTGTCTTCTGCAAAGACTCCTTCCACATCAGCCATTTGCTCTACTCGAAGCACTTTCTCCTGCCGTGTTTCTCTTCGCGTGACTTGTGCCTTTCCATCCACTATCGATTTTGGTGTTCATTTTTGTACTGTACAGCTGTTGTCATCACATCTGACGATTTACTTATCCATTTGCATGCGTATGTTTAAGTTCTTCTTTGTTCCTTTCTTCACAGAAGAAATTCTCCAGCTGGAATTCGATTCAACGTAATTTTCGAAGCTTGTGTCATAGTACTGCATCCTCTTAACAGTTATTTCCATCGCCAGCGGATACTAATCCCGGAATTTAATAATCACTTGAAGGGACATCGCGCACACTATATTTCTCGGTATATCCAAAGTGAATATCCAGCAAACAGAGTACTTTTAGAACTGGCGAAGCTAACAAATACTATGAAAATCTCCCAGCTAAGGGATCGTTGTTGCTAGATTTTCAATGTTTCCTGTTATGACCTGCAAGAGTTTCTATGCAAGTGGACTCGAAACACTGCATGACAGGAGTTTCATGACTTTGCTTGCAACGCACAATACCAACTTTTCGGTAACTGACGGAAGTTTTTCGATAGCTGGACCAGTTGAATAGCTGAGAGCTTTACAGTTTTACTGAAAAGCTTAGTCCTACCACTCTAGGTATGCAATTTTCCTTCGAGATATTTCCTCCATTTTAAATCGGCTTTAAATTTAATTTCATAAACTATTAGAAGCGAAGTCTATATTTTTAGAATCATTGAAGTAAGAGCAATAGTCGAAAGCACGAAGGCACCACATTGGATGACATGCTGTACTGTTCTATGGAATCCCAGTTTTTCAGCCGCTTGAGGTTCAAACCGTGACCGTCGAGGAAAAAATGGAAGAAATTTCGTTGACTACAAAGAATCAAAATTCTATCTCGGTAGACTTCAAGGACATGTAACTCCCACGTCCGACTTCCTGTTAACCTCGGCATTGATTGAATAATTCTTTCTACTTCTGTTTAGCAAACACGAGGTGTTATTTTATTTCTTTATTACGCACAAGCTGACGTCTCGACGGATTTCACCTTCCTCAGAGCCTGGAAAGGTCAAGTTGACTGCCATCTACACGGCCAAACACCTCCATAACCAAACAGAGAAAATACTGAACCAAAATTTCAATCACATTGAACACAAAATACCTTCTTGGCACACTCACCGCTTTCTATGAGTCTTCCACTGAGTATGTCGCGTGGAGACCTACCGCATAGAATTCACATGGAAACATAATGTGTCCCCTCCTATCAGAATAAAAGGCTCATATACTGCCCAATATCACGTGTGACAATGAGGCATTCCTCCCTGCGGTTCATTTTCGGATTTCTGGAATTGATCCAGAACGCCTCGAGAGTTTTACGCGATTGTGTTCCCGATTCCTACGCGAGGATCGTAACCCCTACTTCAAAATTTTCTCCATTATGTCTCTGCCTCCTATGCGTGCCTAGTGGAGTATTTGGTTTACGTTTGCCGACTAGGTGTTCTTTTATATGGACGCAGAGTGGTCTACCCATTTCGCCAATGTATTTGTCTCTGCACGCCTTACAGGATATCAGATAGACTGTATCCGAGCTCATGCAGTCACCGTCTCTACCATTGGGGCGAATTATGCAATTTTGGGTTGCACATAGACGGTTGTATAGGCGGTTACGAACTAGCTGGCGCCTTAGATTACTCGGTGGTATTTCGATTATCGTTACCGAATTCTCTAGACTGGCCTTTCTTAAGCAGCGTTTTATAGCTGCACTTACTTCATTTGAAATAAAGGGCAGTATAAACGGGACCTTGTTATCGCTAGAGTTATCGTTGGGGTACCTGTGGTTTCCTCTGCACCTATCCCGAGCTACAGTTTCGTAGCCATTAAGGATGTGGCTATTTGCCGCGCGAAGTTCCGGGACTCCTCTATCGGCTCCCTATCTGTGCACACACTGGTAGCTGTTCGAAACATGTTTCTCACGAGCGCCCTTTTCGTGTGAGAGGGGTGAGACGAGAGGTAATGAACCAAGATGTTTTTACTACTTGGCTTTCGATACCATTTCGTAATGTAGCCGTTTTCTAATAGGTTAGTTTGCACGTTCAGAAATGGAAGCCAGTTTTCTTTTGGTTTCTCTCGGGTGGAGGAGGAAAGAGTGGAACAATGAATAATGGCATTTTAAACCAATACTTTCTTTTGTGAAGAAGCTCTTTGGCTATCGTTTGACCTTCAAACATACTTCACTAAATTGTAACCATAAAGCAAACGGGTCAGTGATTGAAATGGCTACTCAACCTAGATATCCAATATATTTTTAGTCGGCAATTTAGCAACCATTACTAGTGCTGGCAAAGTATGCTATTGCCTTTGTCCACTGTTTCCCTTATTGGAACAGACTGGGGTTAGAAGTGAAGTAATAGCAAGTTAGTACAAATCACGTCGTCTATAGTGGACAGTTGTTTTAGGTAGGAGACCTATACACTTTGACTAAACTTTCAGACTGAAATATGTTGAAGCTGAACTTTGTTTGAATTGATGACAGCTGTGTTTTCCAACGAATCTCGCCCTCTCTCTCTCTCTCTCTCTCTCTCTCTCTCTCTCTCTCTCTCACCTTTCCGTTGCTGATATTGTTAAGGTTCGTTCTGTGATTAGGACAACTGAAATGCATCCATTAGTTGAAGAAACCTTTCACATTCAAGCTTTCTTTAAGGATTTGTATCCAACGGACTCGCAAGATCCTCACGTTCATGAAAAGGAATGCTGAGCAACGCGTGGTTTCCGGGGCACGACAAGAACGGAACGCAGCACAATTACACAACTCACGACCGAATTTCAGAACCAAAAACTGATTCGAGCAACTCAAAAGCACAGCGCCAATTATCAGGTTTTTGATTAGAAAACTTTCTTAAAAAGAATAAGTAGGAGGAATTGTTGATCCACTTTTCCATGGATGTAGATTTCTGCAAGCACGTTTGGTTAGCATGGAATTGATGACCACAATATGAAAACGGATGTGAGCCAGCGAATTCATCGGTCTGAGCCACATGGGATGGATTCTGAGACTTGAATAACAGCCTCTGGCGTATCGATTTGCATTCTCTCCGTCCCGTTTCACGCCATCATAACAGTGTCGCTGTGAAATCCAGCAGCTGCTAGTAGTAATGATCCACTTCAGATCCTGGCTCACCCTATCGCATCTGTGCGTCACCGAATAAAACAGCCCTGTTTTTTCTTTATTAGTTTGTGCTAATGAAATTGTACTGTTCACTTCTTCACATATCAGGTGGTCCCATTAAGTTTAAGTAAAAAGAAAAAAACGAGTAAATAGTAAAGAGGGCTTATAAACTTGAACGAATCTTTTCAAGCAGTCGTTGGTCCGGTCAATTCTACTCGCATCAGTGCATCTCCGTCACATCAGTGCTTATCAGTTATCGTTGTTTTCATGTCAGTTTTGTAGATGTAATTATTATTATTTTTGTTGGCGATATTATGTTCTCCGTTCCTACTTCCACTTCATTATTCCTAGGTCTTTCAAACTCCGTGAAGAAATGCCCTTAAGCGATTTCAACCAACTCAGTTTTGAGGCAGAAATTGACAGTTGCTTCACAGAGCTGAAGATGAACATTATTTCGCTGAAAGCTCTTGATATTACTATTTTTCTTGACCTCAAGCTTTCCTTAGAAATGCAAAAGTATGGAAAGACAAGAAATTTTTATGACTGAAATCCACTGGGCAGAAATTTCCGTCGTTATGTCGTTGTGTATTGTTCGCTAAAATGCTACGAGATTACTGTGTAAATAATATTTTACTGCCTTCGATTTCTATTGTTTCGGTGAATTTTATGATTTATCTTTCAAATGCGAAATGAAGGAGGAACTACACAGGAGGAGTTCAGCATAGGTCTCCCAGACAAGCAACGACCAACTTACGGACCAGAAACTTGGCGCTCTCCTCTGTGGTTCAACGGTTCTTCTGATGTTCTGTCATGCAGTAGAGGCCTTGCTTAATATTTCGACCACATGGAGAACACTGCTCATCGCCCATGTAGCTCTTGAACGATGTATTTTGAAAATTAAACCTGCAGTTCAGATCTACGATAGTAGTCCCACTTTTAAGGTTCAGGAGAATATACATCAATGATGAAACACAGATGCTTTGATACTATAATAAGCTGAATAGGTGGTAGATGTTCGAGAAGAAGGGAAAGAGTGGACTCCCTGTGGACGCAAGAGTAGTCTAGGACAGTCATCCACACAGTGGCCCATTGTGTTTGTTGCTCATACTAATCACTTGCATTCGCTCCGATAGAACGATTTCTGATATGATTGAAGCAAATCTCTATCGTAGATGGCGATATCTCTAAAAGGAAACGAATGGAAGACGTGTCAGGGTCCACACTACACGTGATAAAAACACCTGTGTATCCAAGTGCCACCGGAAATCGCCACGAATTTTCCGGGCTCTGAAAAATGCCCGAGCGGAAACCAAAATCTTAGCCAAGATCAACTAGCCCCATATCACCTAATCGAGGAAGCGAACGCTGTAGTGAATATTGTAATTATCCATCTCAACTTTTAAAGCGAAACTAGAAATTGAATTTACTGGAAAGACCGCAATTTTTCCAAAGTAGCGCCTCAGAACACACTAATTCTTTCTTCATTCCCAATAATATCCTGCTAGTTATTACCGTCAGTTCGAATTTCAAGCAGCTCCACGTTTCCATCAAAGGTTTTTTTACAGACTTAGTGAAGTGTATAACAAAAGGAGTTAATAATATGCAGAGGTACGGTAGTCTTTAAAGAATAAGGTACACTACAGTTTTGTTGAAAGTAATATTTACAAACCAAGCACCTTTGATAGGTTTTCCATAATTGTTTCTTGATTTCAAAGAAGTCCACCAAAATATGGATTATCCTAGTGATATTGGGTTTTTCTCTCCACCCCACTTTTACTCCATATGAAGAGACCGCCAAACCAGGGATCTCTTTCATTTGATAATTCTAGGGTTGGTCAGCGGCCAGATCATTTCCCCAAGAGGCAGGTTGGCGATCGAATGACGAGTCATTAAGACGATGGTCCACCGACTTCCGCAACGCATATCCATTAAGTAGATGAGCTCCTCGCGTGTCCTACGTTCGAATGTGGTATACACTCTGAGGAAAGTGATCAAACACATCAAACACATGAATATCATACATCGCTTTGATTGTGTGCATAGAGGCTGAATACTGCACCTTCCCTTAGTCCCGCATTTAGAGGGACTTTGTAAGCACAGACTTGTCAATGGTCCGATCCTCAGCTTCAGACTAACACAATCGCTCCCCTCTCCCCTCCTCCTCCCCTACCTCTCCCCTTCACCCCTAAAGGGTCTGCAAGCTGATAACAAACTTGTTTGGAAGGGTGAACATACTGAATTTATTACATCCCATAAGTCTTTGCGTGGAAAAAATGTGCAATCAATCACTGCCACACTGCCAGATGATTGGTGAAGTCGGATCCATACCCTATCCTTCAGAGATTCATTAATTCCGGATTCTTTTCACTATACCCTACGCGTCGATTCCATCGAAGCCCTGCAGTCGAGTTACTAAGAAGTAAATAGAAGGTCATTCATAATTGTGCGTAGCAAAACTCTAGATCTAGTCTGCGTGTCTGGCAAGTGAATCATCGGTATTCCTCACTAAGCATAGAACCAAGAACTTAACCTCAATAAAGTTCAACGTCTTTGTTCCAACGTTGGGAAGCAATGAATGCATTCCAGTTATGTAGCTCCGAAGAACTGCTTTATTGAATGCCACACAAAATGATCATCTGTGGCTTAAAGACAAGAAAGTTTGAGCCCATCATGTTGAGGACAATTATCAATGAGAGTAGTACTCTGAAAGGCTGACTAAATTTCGTTGATAACAAGATTAAGATTAAGACAAGATAAATATCACAGTGTCCCGTCATCTAGATGGAGCAGTTGCTCCATCCAGAGGAGTGGAGAAGAAATTCACCAATGACTTCCATTCTTATTTTACATCAATAATCCTCTCTCCTCATACTGTTTCAATAACGAGGCATTTGTCATGCTTGCAGTTCTTTCTTCCAAAATTCAATATGATCTTTTGTTCATGGAGAAGAGTACAGTACCTATTTCCGATAAGTTCAAACTCATAGGTCTGACGAACCCGGTGCAGCTTACTGTATGTGAAAGAATCCAAAGTTTCTAGTGAGTGAAGAAATAGCACGACTGTGCAGTTATACAAGAGTGGAAAACTAGGCGATATTGGTGTGGGGCTATCGTGGGACCTGCTTGATGTTTACTCTTTACAAATTCTCTGTGAGGAAACTGTTTATAGTGTGTCACACAAAGTTGAAAACTAATAAGTGAAGTAAGAGCACGAGAAGAACTTACGGATCACTTACACTGATTTCATCCGGCTTTCGACCCCGTTATGAAGGAATTGGAGCTCTATACAACGAGGTCATTCATGAACATTAAATAAAGACTCATCTTAAGTCAGCTATACACTATACACCGACTTCGTAATCAAAGTCATTCTGTAATAGAACGATTTCGCCATGAGGGTAATAAAGTAGTAGAAAAAGGTACGGCTACCTTTCTAAAGTTGGTCAGCACCGCTCTTAAAAGGGCCACAGGTAGAGATTGCGATTTGGAAACTAGGGAATCGATAACAAACGGCTAGAACAATTTTACTGCCCTAATGAAACTGTCCCATAATATGAACCTAGAAGAGCGAATGCACGCTTATTTCACTGGCGTGTATGACAAGATCGATTACTGGCAGAATCTAAAAGATTTTTTTTGAAGCAGCTTTGTGCTAGGCAGAATAAATTTCTGAATGCTGCTGCTATATTTATCTGGATTGAGAAGTAAGCCTGAGAAGCGACTTTACTTCGGAACCAAGCAGAAGGGAGGAAGTGACATTGATGATTGAGAGGAGAAGACAGAGAACACTCGCTTTGCACCAACCACTTCGACTTCATTCTTGTTCTTGCCCTACGGTTTGCCTTGGAAATCTAGACGAACTTGCCATCGTTGTTATTGAAAACGCTATACCAGGAGTGTCGTGTATCTTACTTACCTACTCGATACTTGAACGGCCCGTTATCACTAGTTGTGCGCCTCCAGTATAATCACTATTTTTCGGAGATTTGCTGGTTAAGTCATTGTGGCTCCCTGGAATCCCGAGGACAGCCTGACCAAAGTCTGCCCCAGGTCGTCACCACGACAAGCAGTCGCAGCCCTTGTGGATCAGAGGGAGATTTACCACCATGCGAGCGACTTTGATACCAAGACGGTGGCGGATCCTGGTATTGGTTTACTAGGCTTCCTGTTGGAAACGCCGGACCCCTTCTCAGCTTGGGAGAACCTGCCGGGGAGACGAATCCCCACGCTCTACATTGCAGTCCGACACCCAGGAACACCTCCCAGCCACGATGAGGCAGTAAACCAGTATCAGGTAAAAAAAGAAATTCTTGAGATCTGGTCGATGTTGGAGAGTGAAGGCAAGAGCTGTCCAGAAGCAGGCTATTAGAAACCCACACTTGTTCTATTTTTATGTTCATTATGAAAATATAGAACGAAAGACACAGTACCTCCTGTATCCTGTAGTGCCAACAAAATTTATTAGGCAGCTCTGGTATGAGAGAAATGAAGGTTTTACTGAATTCCGCTTGATGGCCACTAGGAGCCTAATGGATACAGACGGTTGGTATGGAGATGCAAATCCATGGGCTTCTCCATCCTTATAGTATTTCGCCAGGATTTCGTTTCGGAAGCTTCATTCTGAAAAATTTAAAAGGAACCATATCGAGCTTGCGGAAAATTTTGCAGTGCACAATTTGGTGTCTGCAATGTTTTGTTGAAATAACACACACTTTTAAATAAAACGTTTTGCGGTTGTTCACTATTTATTTACTTATTGCAGGACTACTACGCTCAATTCGAATGAAGGTTGGAAGCTTGATTCAGAACGGTATCGTTAAAGGACAGCGATTAGCGCTGAGCAGTGACCTTTGGAGGTAGTGGATTTAAAATGTTTAACGTTTTGTTTTCTGCCTTCTATAATTTTCATGGCAGGTTACTAAGCGAAATACAACCACAACGTTGCTGAGATATTTGCAAAACTCTGGACCGCAGGTGTCTATGGTGGGGAACGAACGCGCTATTATCCTTTGGGGAGTAACGCGTTCACCACCACACCATGCGGGTCCTTTGTTTCGCACGTCTCTCAGC